GAGAGAGAGAGAGAGAGAGAGAGAAACGGAGATGGAAAGAGACAGAAAAAGATACACAGAAAGATATATTTTGTACTTCACAAATATTTGTCTCGAATTTGGACACCGACGATTATTTCGTACGTCGTAAAATGAAGAATTTATATGCGTGTTCAAATAGCGTCTGATTTCAGATGTTGTACGGCCGAGAAATAAAAACGTCTTTTCACTTTGACGTTTTTATCGTCTATCCTTCTGTATTTGAATAATTAGCACGCGAACTATGATAACCGGTTTTACACGTATTACGAGCATACATTGTTGGCATCTTTACGTACGATCGGAAGATACGAGGATCCAATGAAAAGTGACAGTAAGATTGTAAAGAATTTCCTTGTTAATTTAACAGCATTGTGTGAGTTATCGACCGTTTAGAGATTTTATATCGAAATACATTTACTATTCTGGGTCACCGCGATATAAAGCTCATTAAGAACAGGTAATTCTACGTAAGATCGCTCACGCGATGTGAAAATAAATGAAGACGGCACACGCCCAGTTTTGCTAAATCAAATTCCATCAAGTGCGACGATCGTAGCAGATATAAGATATATTTGCAATAGAGAACATTTAGAGCGATAGAGGCGTAGCCTTTCCTTATCAGCAATAAGAATAAACGTGCGCAACCTCTGTGTTGCACAGTTTTGCATTCATGATAATACATTTCATTGGTGTATTCCCATCGGATATTTTAAATCAATTTTCTTCTTTTAAATTTAATTATAAAAAAATTTGTTAAACAAATTCGCTGACGTATCTCTTTTAAGATCTAGCTCTTTCACTTTTTTATATTTTTTTATTTTTTCCAAAAACTAGGTTTTAAGATGTCTAATTGGATCTAATTGGACGTCAGAATCTAATTTTATAATTTTTTATATTGTGACGTAAAAAACAATTGAAAAAGCGGAATAGCACATACTTCTAATTACAAAGACTGTGCATCAAAAATAAAAATAGAAAATAAAATTCTGCACGTCATTCATCTGAAGAACACGGGCACGTGTTCTTTCGAGAGAGTTCACAAGAAGTTCATTGGCAGATTGCACTGTCGCGAAAAGAAGCTGCATCTACGCACAATCTCATTACAATTGGCGATGATTTCTTGCGCGCGGGCGCGACGTCTTCGTCTTCTCCCTCAGTTCCTTATCACGAAGAACGGGCCTAACAATGATTTAATGAGCAGCCGCCGAGTGCCCGCTGTTGCCATTATGGAATTCTGTGCCAATGAATCTCGCTGCCGCTGAATGCGATATACGACCCGTCGTATAATGGATCAACTGCATATACACACGTAGGGTGACTTCTATTCATTCGGCGCGAATATCCGCCGTTGAATACTCGCGACTTGCGATTTTTAACGACGGATCGACGATCCATTGATCAGATTAAATTACGTCAAATATCGCTGTCGTCTTTTAATCTTCGAATTCATCGAATTGAACTGTTGAACTAACGCTGTATGTATGTGTATCAGACAACTCGAAATAAAATATAAGATAAACGCGTATTACGCCTCTCTGTCTTTTTTGCAATGTTTATTTTCTAATCTCAATGACATTTTTTTGCTAATACAATCGCGCAGCGAAAGATTAGAAGCGTAGACGCAATCGTCGCGATAATATACGTCAGTTCCGACGATTCCAATCGTTCAACTGTTTCAGTTGAATTCTAAATTATTACGCAACATGTAATTAATATTCATTAGCTTGGATTATCATTAACTTCTACCACAAGAAAGATTACAACTCTTTGCTAAATCGTAAATGAAGAATTACGATCTTTTTACAGTACAAGTTAATGATACACTAATTTAAAATTTTGCTTGAATGTAATGGAAATTGTCATAACTCACGCATACTTTATCACGCAACTCATTTCATCACGAGGAGTAGAAAATAAAATTAAGAGAGTCATGTAATACGCGCCACATTTAAAAAATGAGGTCATACCTCTCATATTATATTATATATAATTTTTATTAACAAAATTAAAATTTCGCGTGTACGAAAATGTGCACGCGAAAAAATGTCGCAAAAAGATACTATAATCCTCAAAATTAAGAGCGTTAGAACGCTTGAAAGCCTAAAAAAATAATGCTAAACATCGCAAAACTGACTTGAAGAATCGAGACATTCATATTTGATATAGTCGAATATAGAAATACGAATCATTGCTTTTTTTAATCTATGGTTTTCAGAATCGCCCTTATCGAAAATTGCGCGGCGTGAGGTCTTTTTTACGAGTTCAAACAACAAATTCCGGGGAGAACTGAGTCGAAAGATTCAAATGGCAGAGAGCAAAGTTTATTCGATACACGTGTCACATATGATTATCAGCAGTCTGACGATGATAGCTCATCATAATAAAATAACACAATCCATATATGATTAAGTAATTGCATCATAGGAAGAAAGAGAAAAAAATCCGTTTCGAGAGAAGTATCGCGATGATGAGCAAACCAATTCATATCTAATTATGATTTCACCGTTCCTAAATTACTTGCAAATCGGCAAGAGGCAAGTTGTGTTAGACACGAAGAGAGATAAGGATGATCGTACTTACAGCTCGCTTGCCACTTCCATGATGCGCTTCCTGCGTCCTGTGTGTTCCAATGAGAACCGTGCTCGGCAATCGTTTACATAGAGCGTTCACTTCCAGTTAGCCGGAAGCGGCGGATGTCCCGATGGGGAAGAGAATCGCCGGTGCTGAATCGTCGAGGGGTACTAAGAGCGAATCTGCACGCCTCTGTCTCTCTCCTTCCCTCGCGATTCCTCCCACGTCGACGTTTCTTCGCGAGCGAGACGGCACGTCGGGACGTCGTCGATAACGCTCGCGACGTTCGCTTAAGTCGAGAGGGATGAGACGCGGATGGAAGACGAAGGGAAAAGGAGGTCGAGGACGCGCGCGCGGATGACGGGGATGAAGAATTAGATGCTCCAAATTAGATGCTCGTTGATCAACGTTAATTCTGACCGATTCTTCTCTCTCTCTCTCTCTCTCTCTCTCTCTCTCTCTCCCTTTCGGTCCCTTTTCGCTCGTATGACAAAGGTAATTCTTCGTAATTTTACGGACGCAGGGCTCGTCGACGAGTCGGTCCGGCCGATCGGAAGCTGACGCACGTCGTCGACGCGACGAGCGGCGTAACGGCGCGCACGAACTGGATAGATGCTGGGTATCTCGTTAGCCAGGAGAGGATGTATGCTGATGGGACTCTCAATCTGTGCCACCTTGGGTGGTACGATTAGCTATGGCGATCTCCCCCTACGACGATCTCTTCCTGCCGCTACCGGCTAGCCTATCATTGCGATCATATGCTGTTACGAATACGCGCGCGCTGCGTACGCCGGCTACGACCCCATCGGAAGTCACCGGCCAGGTCCCTATTGTTTGTCAGCGGTTTGTCCACTCGATTATGATGATCCACCGGTGATGATCGCGGATTCTTCTCTCTCGTCTACGGCTACGATCGGCGTGCGCCTCGCTGCGAAAACGAGCCTTTCCGAGAATAAATTCCCCAACGTGCGCTTTCCGTTCTCTCTGTTTCTTTCTCAGGGCTCGAATCCCGCTCGTTATTAATCCTTTGACGAGGATCGTTTAAGCTACTTTGACAGATAATGACGAAGATAGCCTTCGGAGAGGATGACAGACTCGGAAATGCAATAACTGCGGGTATCGCGTCGATCGATGAGAAAACCGTCGCCTTTGTTGTTATCTGCAACAGAACATTAACGACGCATTGTATTATTAATAACGCGCTGAATCTTGATATTCCTAAAGCTTCGTTAAAATCCCGTACGGAACTCTGCCTATCGACGTTTTTTAACATTTATTTTTAACATTGCCAAGTGCAGCTTATGATCGAACGCATGATATTAATGAGCAATAATCGTCGCCGATCATGCCTGCTCTTTTTTTTTTTTTTTATATTATAACGTCGCGTCGAGAACAAGTGTTCTTCGCGAGCGC